AGTCTCTATCACGCTAATTAAAATCGAAACAGATAAAAAAAAAAACCTGTCGATGCTCACATGAGCGTAATTTCAATAAATATCTCTATTTTATTATTACCACGTTTTTCTTGACTTCGTTTCGTGTCTGTCTGTCATCAAAAATGCAAACCTTAATTTAGAGCACTTCTAAACATCCTAGTAAGCTGAAATTTGGCATGCATGTTTATGCTGCCTAACAATTCAAGATTTGATCATCAGAAATAATAATTTAATTTTTTTTTAATGTTAAAAAAAACACTAAAAATTCACGGTTTGGAATTGAGTTTTTTCTCTTACATCCACACCAGCCAACCCTGGAAATTGATTTGAATTGCTAAAATTGCTAACTAAAAAGTAGACAATAAATATATATAAAAAATATAAAAAAACACGTTTTTCTGGTTTTCACAAAACTAAAAATAGTGAAATAAAATAAATTAAAAAAAAAAACTTTAAAAACCACTTTTTCTTAACGGACAAAAAAGAAAAACATTTACTCTTACATAACATTACATAACATTTTACATACGGTAACTTAAATGTTATGATAGAGTAAATGTTTTTCTTTTTTGTCCGTTAAGAAAACGTGGTTTTTAAAGTATTTTTTTTTTAATTTATTTTATTTCATATTGATAGGTTTCGATTTGACAAACTCATGCGTGTAAAATCTGCTTTAATAATTCGGCTTATAAAAATTCTTTACAGAAATTCGTCCCAAAAGTGTCGATGTGGTAAAAATATTGATGTAGTATCCGAAAAGTGTCGATGTGATCTTCTCTGACCTCTCCGAATTTTAATTTGTATTCATTTACTCCAGTTCCGCCTTTGTAGTTGTACTCATGGTTGAACTAGTAGATCAACCATGGTTGTACTGTCTGTCTTGTGCTGGCCGGGCTGCGGCCAGACTAAAAGCGAGAAAGCTGAAGCGTGCGGAAGCTTGGAGCGCGCTGACGCGAGCTGGCGCGTGTTGGTGGCCAGACACAACGCGAGGTGGCGCGATCAGTCAAATAAAATTTAGTCAAGTCAAAGAAAATTTTCAACTATCGCCTATCTAGAGCCCGGCGATGCGCTGAGTGCGCGTTTGGCATTTGACCGCAAAGTTTAAATTACTAACGAAGTCTATCGAAATAAGTGTTGAACATGCAACAGTAATTGTAAAAGCTATTTATGTTTTACACAATATGATCCTAGCTCGAGATGGCATCGACACTGAAGCAGCAACAGGTGTCTAGGATCACTGTGAAATAGTAAATACCATAACACCAACTGCTGAAAGAAAGAAAGAATGCATCACATATCTGCGACCAGCTGTCATTGATGTACTGACGATCACTGTGCCTGGGGTGCGAGGCGTCCCAGTCTCTCTGATTGCCGGCACGGCTTGGATGGAGCAGATCAAGGATTCGACATCCATCCTCGACGACGTCTCAGGGGCAACTACACGCGCGTGCTCGCGCTCGTATATTTAACTCAACAAATCTACAAGCTTCACGCCCCAGCAAGCGCCGCGGGTGCTAGCGTGAGCGCGCGTCCTATCTGGCCACCCCTATGGGATTGCTTGAATATAATATGGTCGCTTCAGCGCTCTTACGCTCGCGTGAGCTTTCTCGCTTTCTGTCTGGCCGCACCCTATATAGTATTAGAGTTGGACATGCTTGGTTAAAGGCCTACATGCATCGCTGTCAGTCTAGACTTTAGATGACTGAATCACCACAGTCACCAGTATATAAGGTGCTTATACACGGGGCGATTAGTTACGTCTACTAGATGACGCAACTAAAATTTTTGATGCTTGACGTGTTCAGAGGCAACTAGCTGGTTCATTGCAGGCAGAGCAACTAGAGTTATTTTGAAGCAGTCTCCCGCTGCGGAGCGAGGTAAAAGTTTTAGGTATTTTTGTTTATAACTCCGTCAAAAAACTTAGTCTTAGACCTCGCCATCGCGTAGAAGGCGAGCTCGTCCATTCGGTTCAATTTGTCATGCATCGTTGATGAACCATTGACCAGAGTTGCCAGATGGGCCTTTTCAGGCCAAATTTCGCATATGTCATATGTGGCCTTTTAAAATGCATTGGCCTGACAAAATTCTTTGGCTTATTTATGAAAAATTTAATTCCCGACTTTTTTGTAATAATTCTGTCCGTCACTTATAATTTAGCTTAGGCCAAGACGATCGTACACTCAAATTTCGACACGTAACTGTGTCAACACTTCGGTTTTAGTGACAACACTAACGAGTGCCACCTAAACCGGGGCAAGACTTTGGTTGAACCATGGGACTATCTCCAGTTGCCGGCTCATATTAAATAACCATGGGACTTGGAGACGCCTGCCGGAGACCTTCACCGCCGTGCATCGAATGGACTATCATGATCCCTTCTCTCAAGAACGAAGTCTATAACACTTTTTGACTGTAACATTATCAGCCGCAAGCCACCAGACAGATCATATCCATTGAATTAGATCAATCAGCCCACAGGAAAGTAGCCTGACGTAGTATGGCCCAGCATCGTCTGCCAATACTCGAAAAAAAAAAAAAATTCACACCACCCGGACGGAGCGCGCCGGAGCTGTCCGTATCTAGCCGTGTGTCGAATCGACCTACGGTCGAACGGCCACGCGTCGTACGACGTTAAATTTTGGAACTATGCTATCTGAAACCTAACCCCAGATGCTGTGAGCTAAACGTTACGTAATTTAGTGAAGCTGTGGAAGTCGCTCGTTGAGGGACGATAGATTTTGGAACAGAACTATGCTTGGTCGCAGTCCGTCGTCCGCAAGTTACAGTTTGAGCTAAACTCAGGGTATGAAGTGATGATTCGATGCAACGTTCAGTGATGGACAACACTTACTCTCTGGGCTATTCGCTTCAGAATGTGGTGGCATAAAGCTCCTAATATTTAATAGCAAGATGATTTCACGCAGTCACGGGCTGGTTACCGACGGATGGCTTAATCCGCGGCTGATTGGTGGTGGTCATCCGAAAAAATGCTAGGCGTTCCTTTCAAGGCTGATTGGTGCACAAATTTGGTGGTGCACGGCTGCGTAGGCCTTAGCTCACAACATCCGAAGTTAGTTTTCAGAAAGCATAATTCTGTTCCAAAATCTACCGTCCTTCGACGAGCGACTTCCACAGCTTCTCTAAATTACGTAACTTTTAGCTCACAGCGTCTAGTGTTAGGCTTCAGATAGCATAATTCTGTTGCAGAATCTATCGTCCTTCGACGCGTGGCCATTCGACCGTAGGCCGATTCGACACACGGGGGGACGGACAGCTCCGGCACGCTCAGTCCGGGTGGTGTAAATTTTATTTTTTTTTCAAGTATTGGCAGACGATGCTGGGCCATACTACGGCAGGCTACTTCCCTGCTAGATCTAATTCAATAGAGATCTGATCTGTCTGGTGGCTTGCGGTCAAAATGTTTAATGTGTTATAGGCACAGGCAGTAGCCTGAGTAGGCCTCGTTCTTGAGGGAAGGGATCATGATTAGGCTAACATGAAACATGTATTATGTACTTATTTGAGTTATTTCCATCAAAATTTCAGTACCGTAAAAGGGGGTTACTTTGACTACTTTTTTTGGATGATGCCATTTTTTACTAGCTACCTAAATTAAACTTGAATTGAAACCTGCAAAATACAGGTCTATATAGTATATACTCTAGGTTCACTCACCATAAATTGCTGGCTCCTGCCTCTCATACTTTTGTTTTGATGTACCTAATTTAAAAAAAAGTGATGGTCATTGTTACCCAATATCCCCTCTCTTGGGGTCCTATCTTTGACTGGGTGGTAAAATCAATTTTATTTTCTGGCAATATAACTCCAGGTTTTGGTGCATTGTAGTAGAACTCTTCCTAGTTAGGTACTTTTGCAAATGACAAATTTGAGGAAGTGTCTAGTCTGTCAACTGTGTCATAGTTTGCAAATGGGGGGTGCTGCCCCCAATGGGGGAACTTTGACCACCTAATGTCAGCCCTGATGGGGTAATATTGACTGGCTTGGGAATTAAGTTGAAATTTTCATATACCGGTACCGTATTATGGCGTATAAGAGAATTAGACTCTGTAGAGTGACTAGAGTCTGAATTCTGAAACATAAAGGAAAAACATTAATAGCCTAGCCTAGGTCAGGCTAGGTGTATGTGTACTATATATGATTTCATTTGCATATATGATATGTAACTAGCTAGAAGAGTTCTACTACAATGCACCAAAACCTGGAGTTATTTTACCAAAAAATGAAAGAAATGGGGAGGGGGGTTTCTAGGACAGGGCTTTATAGTTTATATAATAGCACTTTTTGTGGGTCACATTTTTAATTTTTTAACCTATTAGATATGCAAACTTTTTTAATCTTTCTATTGTGTTACCTACATAGCCTCAGCCCTCAGTATTAGGCCTTTAATGCCAATGACCAAGTTATCCTATGTCAAATAGTTTTTGAGTTTTGGGGATTTTTGTTAAAAAAACTAAAGTCCCCGGGAGTCAAAGTAACCCCCTTTTATGGTATTCAATGCTTCCTATTGCTAACTTGAAAATGAATGAACATTGTCACATTTAAAATGTTTTAAAGAAATTAAAATTACTTCCTAAAAGGCTAAAACCAGCATTTTGATCAACCAATGTCATTTAGAGAAATATTTGTCCCTGAAAATTTAAACCAATAAATTCTATGGTCATTGATCTCCAGGTTTAAAGAAGTACCTAAATTCTCTCATCTAATGTTAATATGGTATATATTACTACATATATTAAATAATTATATGCAAACCAATTTTTGTTGCAGAAATACAATTTGGTACAAAAAAGAACCATCATTCAAGTGATTCAACTGGATCTATATGTCTATATCCTTAGCATTCCCATAACCAAATTATCACAATAGGCCTACTCCATCATGGGCCTTCCAGTTATTAATTCCTTCATCTCCATGTCTACACTATCAAGGCACAATAAAATATTGTGTTATGGTACTACTATGAATAAATCCCACATGTGCCAACCATTAATGTGCCAGAATATGAAAGCCTCTATGTTCATAAAGCAAGAAATTAAGCCTCTAGTGTCATTGAATTCACTATTTTGGGCTACAACTAATTATAAAAGAAATTCAAACCCATCACTCTATAGGGTTAATGCAAAGGCAAACCCTATCTGTTTTACAAATATATGTACATTTCATTCAACTTGTGTGGGTGCTAAAGAACAGGCACTCTCCAAGCATGTCAGAAAAGATGTTAAATTTTCAGAGAAAGGTAAGATTTTTACCTCTGAGAAAGGTTTGTGTCTGTCATCCACTATAAATTAATACTTGAATAATGGTCATCAAATGAATACCTCAACATTCTCAGGTATTTTCTGTTTGATCTTGAAAGTTGCAATAATAAATCCCTCAAATATCAACACAATTGGAATAATAGTTCACATGTTTACTACTTTTGTTTTCAGCTAAAGAGGCAACCAAGACTACATACTATTCTGCTATTGTTCTTGTTGGCCTGGGTGTGACTGGCTATCTTTTCTACACAGTCTTTGGAGAACTCTTTGCTTCATTCTCCCCTCAGGTGCAATATATAATAATTTCATCTGATTTTTAAATTACTATTACACACATTGCATCCTCAATTAAGGTAGCAATTTGAGTGTTTACAATAATTCTTCTCTAATTTGCATCTATTTTGACCTTTCTGTTAATAATTGTATCCAGTGATTATTTACATAAAAATTGGTTAAATACTTATTTGGAATAGTTTATTATTTATTTATTGTTGTTACAGAGTGTGTACAGCGATGCTGTTAAGAAGTGCTGTGCTCATCCACGCGTCCAGGATGTACTTGGTAGCGATGGTCTCAAGTGCTACGGAGAAGAGACCAGACGTGGCAGACGCACACATGTTAGGTGAGGCTACAGTTCTATTCTTTCTATTGTTTAATGTAATGTAAATATGTATCTAATCAACAGTGAACTTGGTTTCAAATGTGTTCTTTCCTTCTTTGGCAATGGTTTAAAATTAGTTTTGTGAATTGTTAAATGATTGAGAGACCTTTAATATTCTAATGTGAGATTGTTCAGTATTTGTTTCATTGGATTCAAAGCTTGTTATCTTGGTCCTAGACACAAATGCTTTCTTTTCTCTCTAGCCAAATGACTTATGAAGCTGATGGCCAGAGGGGCATGCGTATCATGTTTCATATCAAAGGGAGTCGGCGCAAAGGAACAGCTTGGCTTGATGCCAGAGATGTAAGCTTGTTCACAGCAAAAGCTATAACTTTCAAGTAGTGGAATGGTAAATATTGTAAATAAAATTCTTGTGATTAAGAATATCTATACATTTAGTAGACTTATATTCTTGTGTCTTAAGTTAAATTGTTAATAATATTGGTACCCTCAATTACTTTCAATCTAAAAATTTCTCATTGCATCATTTTTAAAACAAAAATAATCCGTTTTACATGTGTACCAGTGAAAACCAGCCACATTAAACATTACCTATAAATACTCTCCAACAACCACTACCTACAGTTTATTATTAGTAGAATATATTGAACTGTCATCTGTACGTAGATGGTCTTAGTACTGATGTTCTTGCCTATTTTTTGCAAGTATACCCTATAAATTCCGGTATTTTGTTACTATTTCTGGAGCATTCACCTTTTGACCAAGTAAATATTATATGCTGTATCTGAGGTTCTTGACATATTTTTACATTGTGTATTTGTTAAACTTGAGACTGATGGTTTACAGAGCCCCAGTGGATGGTACTACCGCTACCTGTACGTGCAGCTTGACCAGTACCCCCAGGAGGTGATTGTAGTTCAGGACAACCGAGGCATCACGGACGACACCGGCAGCTCGCTCGGCCACTCCATGTCTGCTGCTGGATCAGGAGAACTCACGCCCATCTTCCCAACATACAAATAATTTATTCAAATGAATCTAAAAACTTTTGCTTATTGCCACTTGTAGTCGTAGCTGCTGTTAGTGGCTCCGATTCCAAAGTGAGAACTCAGTTCAGACCCATGAACTTGACTGTTATTCATGAATCCGATCTAATTCTTTCAAATACTAATATTGAAATACGGCTAATGTTTACAGAACCCGAGTCAAAACCTTATTTGTTTTGTTAGTAAACTATAGCTTACTTGCTCTTTTATTAGTCTGTTGTTACGAACGATATTCTTCCACTGTTCTTGGTTGAATTTGTATGTATTTAAAATATTTTTTACAATATGAAGCCGAAAATCAATGATGTAACTTTTTTGTAAATTGTTATTTTGAAAGTATAAAGCAGCTAATGCATTTTTTATGAATGTTTAATAATGAATTCACTTATATTACAAAATTTTTGTGGGAGTGAAGTGTATTCTATCGTGAAGATAGGTGCGTGGAAGACACTAATGCTTCCCGCGCCGTTTGTGGCTAGCACCCTGCGAAAATATGAAGCTGCGTATCTAGATACCGTACATAACGGTGAGTGCTGTACTTCTTGTGTAATACAGTGAACATGTCGTGTTGAAATGTATTTCTTCAGCGGGTCTTTGCATCTTTTCGAGTATTGTACAGCTTTTAATGGCCTCTATTTTGTCAAGAATTGGGCTTGGACATGCATCCTCATCTCGCAAAATCATTTTTCGCATGTGCCATTCAACTAAAAGAATTTCCTTGAATTAATATTTTTTGCAAGTTCTTAAAATGTCAAGTTTTCAAGTGTAAAATTTCTTTATTCAAAGAATAAAAATATCGTAGAAGTTTAGGCAATTGAAAAATTAATTGATGTGATCTTGGGGCTTGCGATTGATTTTGGCGCCCAATTGTGCATTTATATATTTATTTTATTTTAAATGTCAATGATAATGACAAAACATTTGCTTGTTGCTGACTTTCAGTCCGAGTCTTATTCTATTAATGAATGAATGTAAATATATTGAGTTACTACTCTCTTACAATACACTTCCAATGATCTATGTGCATTTTTTATTAGTAATAAAGTGCCTTTTAAAAAAAGAATATGAAACGTAATCGGTAAAACGTTTTATTATTTTTATTATTATGTTCATTCCCAGTCGGCGTCCATTCACGGCAAAGGAAAGGAATCTGCAGGGTCTCACATACGGTGTATATTGACTGTACTTTCAAGTTCAGTTGATTATTTTAGGTAACAATTTACCGCGATGTAACCAAACGCACGTGAATTAAGTTGGTATCCAGATTACGATACGCTTGCATATAATGCGTGAGCGGTGCCTGAAAACTTTATTATTATCAACCGAAGCAAAACAACATGTTGGAGAGCGGAGGGAGCTTAGCTCTGGCGTCTCATCGCCAGGCCTTCTAGACAACGGGCAAAACGAACAGTATGAGTGAATCTGCAAACTTGAAGATACGGAATTTCTCGTCGCAGCCGAATTACGGGAAGTCACGCTGGTCTCAATCCAATCCATCCAGCTGTCGCAGGCGACCAGTCGTGATCAACATGGATGACATGGAAGCCCGGAACAGTACGCCCGAAACTCCTCCTAGCAATAACCCCTTTGATGAAGATGACGACGAAGAGCTGACAGAAGTGAAGTGCGAAGTAGACGTCGCTGCCATATGCGCCTCAAGCTCGCCTCTGTCAGCAGCAGCTGCTGAAGCCCTCGAGAATAAAGTGCGGTCTGTAGAGCAGGAGTCGCTGCAGTAACAACAAACCCAGCAGCAGCTACAAGAGCTTATTTTGCGTCGAGGGGAAGAGCTTTTGAAGGCGTGTGCGGAAAGAACGAAGCTTGCGAATGCCAACACGAAAGTGCGACTTGCTGAGGAACAACATGAGAACCGCGAGAAGAAGCTTCGTTTTATCAAAATGGGCGGATGGTTCACTGTCACCAGTTTCATCGTCACTGGGTTAGTGATGATCGCACTTTCTTGAAGCAGAAATTCGTTTCCGTTTTCGTGGCTATGTTGTTCAGACGTCGACGATGAAGTCAAGTTCTCAACACGGTGGCTATCAAGTTACAGAATTTGTCGTATAAAGTCAATCATTATAGTTAACGGATATTATTGGATTTCGTGACTTTACGTATTCCGAGCTGTCTTCTACTTCTACATTCCAGAACATTGTGAAAAATAATCAATAGCTGTGATAAAATCCCTCGTAATCGCCGAGATAGAGAAATTGTTGAAAATTGAAGTCTAAATTTGAAATCATATTAGCCCAAACATTGATTGCTGGTTCACATCCTCATGTTTCGAATGATGAACATTCTGAATGATCAGAACTTTAACAATATATCAACGAGAAAGTTTGAACATATGGCGGTGGAAACCTACAGATCCCGAGAACTTGCATGGACCAAGATTGTGTAATGTAAATATTTCAAATAATTCCTTTGGTACCTTGATGCTGACGTCTGGTCATTTTCCTTAATGGCATTGCAGCCTTCCAGGCATAGCGGTGTTTAAGGAGTCTTGTGACCAAAAATGACGATGGGTGGATGTTCCACAAAGTTCATAATGTTGGTATCGCATTTTATTATAGCCAAAATAAATCGTTCGTCAGACCTTTGGACAATTGAAGTGAGAACCCAAAATTGGCTGCGGAACTACACCTAAATGACGATCGAATCGCCACAAGTAACTTGTGACATATTGATCCTAGAATATTCTATAAGATCTTGCTTAATTAATGTTTAGTCCTGGAAACCTGACATTATGATAATGAATCTTTAGCATGGTTCGTCGATAATAATGCAGCGAAGACGGAAGAAGTCACATATTTGCGTTATATACACAGGACAGCGGAAGGGACTATGCACGAGCCAGAAGTAATAACTGCGGCGCGATATGCTACAATGTTGCGATTTGCGAGGCTTCCATCGGTACGGATGAAACTTTTATATTTATTTCGGGGTGATGTGTCATTTAAAGTGGTTATTAAATGTTTACTGTCTTTCATTTATTGAACCTAACAACAAAAAGATAGACTTTATTTTAATACATACAGAATAAAATTTTATCAAGATTATGGTGTTTGCAATTCAAATTTCGCATCGGACTGGAGTTGGGATGGTTTTAGTACTAGTTCAACCATGGGTTTTAGATAAATTTTTCATGTGCTAATTTTTCTGCAACTTCCTAATTTTTTCCGATTTTACTATTATTGAGATAGGAATAAATTAATCAGCGAAATTCACACAAATGTTTGCATAATATTAACGATAATTTTACCCAGCTCGTATGCGCCTGCAATGAAACATTGAGGCTGTAGTTTGAAAGAGGTTCATTTTATATTTTAATTTTGTCGGCCTGAACGCAAGTGAATCAATCGGCGGCTCTTTAATGAATATAAAGCGAGAAAATTTTGTGTGCTCCTTCTTGACTGAAAATCATAATAATAAATTCTGATGCTTAAGAAAAGAAGTGAAAAATGGATAACCGACGGCTGGCGCTGTAATAATAATAATAATAATGTACGGGCTTGCGCTGCCATCACACCAAACTGGCATTGAACTTCGCATTTTTCTCGATTTTGAAGGTTGAGTAAAACTGACGACCTTTCTCTAACAGCAGTCTGGGTCAGGTGGCCCAGGCGGGGTGTGTGCGCGAGATGGGACCACGATACAGACTGCGTCCGATGATTGTCTCATTGTCCCCTGCAGCCAAACATTGATTGGCCGGCTTATATCTTCAAAACATCCCGTACTTAGCGTCGGCTAAAAATACTGTTTCCTCTGAGATCGCAAGTGATTAGTCAAATGAGTTTCGAAATTGGAGTGAGAGGCTACATTGTCCACTGCATTACTCGAGGCCACCCAGAAACCTTTATTGAAATGAGGTGTTGTTCAGGGTGACAGCGTCTCCATAGAATACGTGTGCTCTACCACGTCTGAAAAATCAGTTCAATGCCTTCTCGAAATACGGAGAAACATTCGCTAACTTCGGAAATGCGCTTTCTTCGTGGGCTCTTTTTAAAGAAACCCTCGGGCTCTTTTTAAAGAAACCCTCGGGCTCTTTTTAAACAAACCCTCGGGCTCTTTTTAAACAAACCCTCGGGCTCTTTTTGAAGAAACCCTCGGGCTCTTTTAAAACAAACCCTCGGGCTCTTTTTAAACAAACCCTCGGGCTCTTTTTAAACAAACCCTCGGGCTCTTTTTAAACAAACCCTTGGGCTCTTTTTAAACAAACCCTCGGGCTCTTTTTAAACAAACCCTCGGGCTCTTTTTAAACAAACCCTCGGGCTCTTTTTAAAGAAACCCTCACATACTTCCTAGCCAAATGAACAACTATGCTTTATCTGACGCACTTGCATTGCTTAGCAATGTAGGAGGGCTTGCGATAGGAACGGGGGAGCGCTATCAATAAGAGTGCTATTTACAAACGTATTATCACTATAAATATAGAGGCGCTAACAGAATTTGACATAACTCTAGAGTTCAGACGAGCATCATCATTATAGACGGAGCGGCTATTTTCTCTATTGTCCTCGAGTTGCAAAAAATCTTTGTTTGATTGATTACGATTTTGTAATATGGTTACAATGAATAATGAATAGATTATATCAAACATAATTGAGGCAATTGATGCTCATATTTAAATACAAAAATTATTCATGGGAACTATGTAAGTACGCTTCTGCGATTCAACAGGTTATATTAACTTTGAGCTCGGAAACAGCCATCATAGTTAGGAAAATAACCAACAATTTCTTAGTACACAAGATGATAGCTTTGAAAAGATACACTAAGCAGAGTTTCTTCAACATAATTATTGCCAGACCTCTTGTACACAGTATATAGAAAAATCACGCTCTTTACTTTCATAAGAACCTCCAGATTGTGAATAAGTTAATAAAAATGAGAGGAACTGACAAATCCAGAATCTTGATTATTTTTCACCAACTCTCAACCATGCGACAAGAAAGTCTTAGAAGTTTCCAATTTCTGTATTTCTTGTTCTATCATTCTATTTATTAACTGATTTCAATGGAGAAATCCGTCATTCATTTTAAAAATAAAGAAATTATAACGAAAGATTTCCTCCACTAAATTTTCTAAATCATAATCACGTACCGGCCTATATTGGTTGAGAAGCGTCACTCTGTGGTGAGAAGTGTATCTCGGTCCGGTGACATGAGTTCGAAAAGCAGGACTTAAAAATTAGAAGTTGAGGCGGCAGTGCGATGTGAGGAGCACATTTCAAAAGCAGCTTTGGTCAATAACATGCGAGCTCAGCTGCATCAGCATGCACAGGCCTGATGTACTACGCCCCTGCACGAGGAGGTCGGCGCTTGATAGCAACAATCGCTTGGAAAAGAGCGGGCCCAATACACGTC